TTATTGCAGGTGTCTAATGCTGTGTGGATTTAAACATGTATAACTCACAGTAACAAGCCTCTGCTGTGCTTAACTGTAATAACTGCTATAATAACTGATACATGTCATAGAGCGCAGCACGGACTGGCAGTGTTGTGCTGTTTTTCCAGTGTGTGTGCGCGTGTGTGTGTCAGCAGATATCAGAGACTCTGTTGGCTTTAATCATTCAGCACACACACTGCTCAGCAGCAGCGCTCTTTAATTTACTGACCGCGCGCTGAAACCTGATAAAGGGCTCTGGAATACACACTTCTCTGCGTTGTAGACGTTCAGCTCCTCCAGGAACAGGCTGTCGTTCAGGGCGCCGCTGCGGATCTTAGCCAGAAACTTCAGGACGATTCCTCGCTCAGAGCCCAGGAAGACCACCGTATGGTTATTGTGCGGCCCGGCGGCGTTATCCACTGCGATACGAGTGAGCCGGTACCTGACACACACACACACACACACACACACACGGGTTACGCTGGAATCTCAGCCTCCTGCTGAAGCAGAAATGAAAGCATTATCTGGCGCCCGCCGCTCCAATTACCCAGCTCATCTCAGTTAATCAAATGTATGTTTCATTTCCAAATCACTATGCAAATACAGTTTCATGCTAATTAAAACAGGCAGGATGGAAATATATAACGACAAATAAATGACACACATATTCTCTTCATCTTTTCACATCTCTGGAGTCTTTGAAGCGCTGTAATCTCCGAGAGGAACAGACACGCCGCTTCTCCAGCTAATGTCTTATCAGTCATTCACTTTCAGTCATTCACTTTTACTGGGGCACATTTACACACACACACACACACACACACACACACACACACCACACACACACAAACGCGCACACACACACTCACGCCTGTTGAAAGAGTCTCGCTCCTGCATGAGCACACTGCATTAGGGTCTGCAGATGCCGGAGCTCCTCTTCTGTTGAGGAACAGTCAGTCGTGTTTCTCCTGCCGGCTGGAGCTTCTGGAATGTTCTCCATCATTCTCCTCCTCCATTAATGCTCCTGACACTCACCTCACCGTGAGCTCCAGGAACAGTCAGACATGATTCTCCAGTAATGTTCAGATGCTGATATCCTGCACTCACCTCACCATGGTCTTGAGGAACCAGGGCCGGTTGGCGATGGCGGGCACGGCCTCCTCCATCAGCGGGTGGGCTTTGATGAAGCTCAGAGAATCGTCCGGAAACTCACTCGACACTTTAAACTTCTCCACGGAGGACGAGCCGGCACACACACCCGGCCTGAAGAGCACAGAGAACACACTCAGCATCATTAATCATCA